CTGTCCGCAGAGGATGACGGACAAGTGTTTCCGGAAGTGCATCGGGAAGCCCGGGGGCTCCTTGGATAACTCGGAGCAGGTGAGGCGCCCCGGGACCCCCGGCTGGTGGGGGGCGCAGGGTAAGGGGTTTGGCGCGTGCTCAGCCGCGAGCCCCAGCCGAGGCGTGCGCGTGCGCGGGCGGAGGACGAGCGTTTCTGCGTGGTGTATTTGTAGCCCTAGTGGGCGACTCCGGGGTCATGTGACCCTAACCCACTCTGGAGTCCCTCTCCCCGCCCTGCAGAAATGCATCGCCATGTGTATGGACCGCTACATGGATGCCTGGAACACCGTGTCCCGCGCGTACAACTCTCGACTGCAGAGGGAACGAGCCAACATGTGACCGAGACCTGTGCCTCGGGACACCGTGCTCAGGCCACAGATCGGAACTGCTTTCCCACTCGCAAGGGCAGCGCGTATCTGACGGCCCCAAAGTGTGGCAGCACGGAGGGCTCCGAGTTGAGGCCTCTCCCCTAGGTTGCTGCGCCTAGCCCAGTCCCAGAAAAGTGAGGACCGGTTTGAGTAAGGGCATCTGCCTGCCCCCACCTGAGCTGTGACCTGAGAGCAGGCCAATAAATTGCTGCTGGGACAGAGAAGCTGGTGTGTCGTCCTACTGCTTCAGGTCCTCTCCCCAGAGTAGACCCCAGCCTCCCAGGGCAACTTTGCCTTGGTGTCCTTGACCTGTCATGTGAAGGTGTTGTGCGCCCCCCACCCAACAAAAAGGGCATGGCCTTGTGCACGACTGAGTGGTTTCAGGTGCCTGTCTCCTGGCTTGGGGACTACCCTAGGACACACTGTGGCTTCATGGCTCTGTGTAGGGCTCTCACCTGTCATGCATGAGGCTCCAAGTGCCATCCCTAGCTCTACGTAAACGTAAACCAGGTGTGATGCATGCCTGTCATCTCTGGGGACTTGACAGGAGGATCAAATTTGAGGTTAGCCTTGGGTATGTAAGACCCTGTCTCACAAATACAAAGGTGCGCCAATGGGGCTGGGTTGATGATGGGCTCTGTTGCTGAGACACAGGTCCTGAGCCAGGGCTAGGGGAAGGGACTTTATTGGAACAGTATACACAGCCACGGCTAGTTCCCATCAGACCTCCATGGTTCCTGCCACCAACTCTCCTCCGTGGATTGGGTGGTGGGCAGCCTTGTTCTCCATTCCAGGCTTGGGTCACTCACGGTCTGCACGGTGGTCACTCCTGGATATTCTGGCCTATCCATCCTAGCACAGCAGCCACTCGAGTGTAGACACCCGGGAAGTGGGGCCTGCCACAGCCGTAGCCCCAACTGGTGATCCCAGTTAGCACCCACTGGCCAGATGGCTCCCTGCAGGCCAGGGGTCCCCCTGCATCACCCTGAAGGAGAAAGTGCTCTCAGGTCAGCAGCCCTTGGGACCACATGAGAAACTGCCAAGGAGCCTCATTTTTGCATGTATAAAATGGTTTAGTGCTAGTGCTTTTTTTTTTTTTTTCTTTTTTTTTGGGGTTTTTAGAGACAGGGTTTCTCTGTGTAGCTTTGGAGCCTATCCTGGCACTCGCTCTGGAGACCAGGCTGGCCTCGAACTCACAGAGATCCCACCAGCCTCTGCTTCTCAGAGTGCTGGAATTAAAGGTGTGTGCCACCACTGCCCAACTGCTAGTGTATTTGCTTAATGCCTCTGGCTTCGGCCTCTGCCAGGTCCTTATCCTCAGGACCCTGTGTGTGCGTGCCTGTGTAGGGTGTTGGATGGTCGTCTTTATTGCTCTACACTCCATTCCATTTAGATGGGGACTTTTATGTGACCCTGGAAGTAGATGGTGGCCATCAAGTCCCAGGCATCATCCTCCTGTCTCAGCTGAACAGAATGGGGTCACAGGTGCTCATAGCCAGTAACCATGGACTTTTGTGTGCCTCCTGGGAATCTGTACAGCAAGCCGCATGTAACCAACCAGTGATCTCCCTGTACTTGGGAGGGGATATGTGTTTGTGTTGTCCATTGAAGCAGGTTCTTGCTCAGAATCAGTCTCCATCTCCCAGCTTTGAGCAACCATGCCCTGCCTTTACCCTCAGGTAGAATGTGGGGCTGGGAAACCTTCATACTGTCTTTGAACAAGCAGTTGTGACATGTGATATCACCAGAGTCAAAAGGTGGCTGGGCTTAGTCGGGCGTTGGTGGAGCACGCCTTAAATCCTAGCACTCGGGAGGCAGAGGCAGGCAGATCTCAGTGAGTTCAAGGCCAGCCTGGTCTACAGAGCAAGTTCCAGAACAGCCAAGAATGTTACACCGAAACTCTGTCTTGAGAAACAATGAAAGGTGGCAGGTGGCTGGCTGGGCAGCTTACTCGGAAGGTGCTTGTCGTAAAAGCCTGAGGATCTGAATTAGACCCCAGAACCCACGTGAGAAACCAAAGCTCAGGGGCAGATACGGGGTTTCTGGGACTTGGAGATACCCGGGTTCAGTGAGATTTCTGGCCAGCCTGGGCTACAGAGAGAGTCCTGTGTCCGCCTCACTTACTGAGCAGCTGTCCACGCCGCCCTGCGGGAAGCCTGCACACAGCATACGGCTGCTAATCTGCACAGGGTAGAAGCGGCGACACGCCTGCTCGCTGAGGACACGTACGGCTGC